AGGGAATTCCTTATGAAGCACAATTATATGTAATTATCCTGAAATATGGGAGACAATTTAATTGTGTACCAAACATGGCCTGGAAAATTATTGCTACTGTTTACAGAAGAGGATATCAATTCTGGCTCTGTTTAGGTATCATTTCTACCCCACCCCCCTCCATCACTTCAGAGTTTTTAGGTAGTTAGAGAGAACAGAAACCAAGATGTCTGTGAGGAAGGTCAAGATGGTAGCCAGAGTCCACAATTGCAGCTCTACCCCATTTATATATGCATTATCATCTTTACTTTCTTGACTACTCCATGGATGCTTTTAGATTAGAATCATAGGCCTGGAAGGGACCTTGGAGGTCTTCTAGTCGAATCTCCTATCCAAGGCAAGAGACCTTATATCATCTTGGACAAATAGTTGTCCAATCTTTCCTTGAAGATCTCTAGCAATGGAGCACCCACAACTCCATGAGGTAAATTGTTCCATTGATTAATTGTTCTCACTGTAAAGAAATTTCTTAGTTTCAAATTGGATCTCTCTTTGACATGCTTCCACCCATTGCTGCTTGTCTTACCTCAGATGCTTTGGAGAATAGACCTCCTCTTCTCTTTGACAGCCTCTCAAGTAGCAGAAGACAGATATTATGTTACCCCTAAACATTCTCTTCATTATGCTAGACACACCTAGTCCCCTTAGCTGTTAATCGTATGATTTGTTCATTATACTAATTTTCAATTAGTACATTCATCGTAAGATTCTGGTAGGATCCCATCTGCCTAATTCATTCTGTTATTACATTTATATTGGTAGCACTTCCAGTTGTCTGTGTATTTGAAGAAAAAATTGTGTTCATAAACTCCTTTGTTTTTTTTATATTTCTAAGTCATGGGCATAAGTTAATTCCAGCAGTGATAGCTTACTCATTACTACAATGCAATTTTGAACCTACCCTTTTATGCTGTTGGGTAGTACACATTAAGTCAAAACAGATAAATTCTTTTCAATTGGGCTTTATTCTTTTCCTTCCAAGTTTATTCTAAGGAAGTCAGTATAACTGAAAACACCTCTTTAAACAGAATCAAATGTTTTGAAAAACTGATCATTTATCCTCCTTAATAATGCTACAGAATGTGAAAATTCTCAGACTATTTCTGGCTTTATAGAAGTTTCTCAGCTTTAGGATGGATTTCTTTCCTTGACTGAATTTTTTTAGTGATTCATTCCTGTAGCACACTTAATGCAGAAACTGGGGGGCTTTGAAGTCAATGAGAAACAGGAGGGGTGACATTGTACTTGAAAAGACTAAAGTAATTCAGATAGAAATCAGAAGTTATTTGTACCAGTTGCTGATGAACAAATTTAGGGAGTCAGTCTTTCTTTCTTTCTTTCTTTCTTTCTTTCTTTCTTTCTTTCTTTCTTTCTTTCTTTTTTTCCTTCCTTTCTTTCTTCTTTCTTTCTTTCTTTCCTTTCTTTCTCTTTCTCTCTCTCTCTTTCTTTCTTTCTTACAATTCTTTGTATTTAGGACAGATTTAGCCAGGATAGTCTTTCAAGCAAAACACTGTCCTTGATGAAAAAAAGAGATAGAACCTTTTGTGTGTGTCAGTTGTGGCCTCCTGTGGAACAATATGTAGCACCTTATTCTGTAAGGAAGCCATGAAACTCAAAATTCATATAGAAAGTTGCATTGGCACTTAAAAAGACAACCATTTTTATATCCGTCTCAATGAAGGCTGGTAGTGGTAGGGAAAGCCATCTGCTGGGGTTGCAGTTCTGACCTAGGATTTTGTCTAGCATTCTTCACCATAGTTTAGTATAAACACAGATTTCTGAGTTTGCATGATGCCCTAAATCATAAATTAACTTGAAGGCCTAGGACTGTACAAAATGGTAGATTAAAATACAACAGCCTGGTTTGGGGTTCTGTGTGTCATAGAAATAGAGTCTGCATGACTAACTTCTGATCAAGAAAGGGAACAATGTGTTGGTTGCCTTGTTAAGAGCCAAAGCATTTGGCTGCCTAAAGCAGATCAACAAATATAAAGCTGTCGTCTGTGAGCTGCAAAAAATCTGGCAGCAAAGGATTTACAAGAGTTTTCTGTAGCTCTTTGCTGTCATGCAGTGGTTATATGGATTTCTGCATCTGAACTATGGGAAGAGTTGTAAAAAAAGAGGCAAAAAATTTACTGCTTTGCAACAACAACAACAAAGAGAATTTCTTGTGGTTTGATTGGTTCATTATGATGAAAAATTAATACATTAAAAAAGGGAGGTGGTTACCCTTCTCTGCCTAAAGTCAAAGCTGCAATTTTATACTCATTTAGCCCAATTGAATTCCAGAAGTTTCTATGACAGCTTCGGCATATCTGAACAGAAGTAACTCTCTCCTATTATTTTCTAGTAAAAGTGCTTAATATCACAGAATTTGAGATTATTAAATAAAAACCTGATGTTTGCCTGACACACAGGAAAAAAAAGGGCAAAGTGTTGATTATGTAACTAGTTGCATCTGCCATCTTACTTTTTAAGCCCTCTCCCTCCCTCTGCAGATGATCAGCGTTCTTTGCCCTGAGCTTAAAATGTTCAGAATAGAGATAACAACATAGGATTCTATAAACCTGTTCAAGAATACACGTTAATCCTGATACACTAATGTGACATAGAACTGTGGTATTTATTTCTGATTGTATCTACAGTTGTTGCAGCTGTTTGCTCAATTATCATGTTGAAGTATATTGGGGATCCAGAGATTCTGTTTGCCATTTGGTTATGATGCTTCATCAGTGATAGTAGATTACTTTCTACCAGCTCCACCCTCTACTTTTTGTTTGATAAAGAGTCTATTTCCTATATAGGTGTGACAATAGTGATAGCACTAGCACTTAGACTTATATACTGCTTCATAGTGCTTTATAGCCCTCTCTAAGCGGTTTACAGAGTTAGCATATTGCTCCCAACAATCTGGGTCCTCATTTTACTGACCTCGGAAGGATGGAAGGCTGAGTCAACCTTGAGTCTGGTGAGATTCAATCTGCCAATCTGCTGGCAGCCGGTGAGCAGCAGAAGTAGCCTGCAGTACTGCATTCCAATCACTGCGCCACCGCGGCTCATTTAATGCTGAAATCAATGGGTATTCCTAGAGATTTACATTTTCTAAATTATAATCTCACAATAAGATATTTGGGAACATTGTGATGGCTCTGCCCACTAAGAATGTCTCAGGAACATGAAACAACTAGGTGGCCAATTTGCCATGGCCAATTCACCACAGCCAGCACTTGTGGCAGGATTACTCATTGCAGCAGGACAACATACCACAGCACAATTCAACAAATACAAGTTAAATTAATGGTCAATAATAATAAAATAAAGTCAATCCAGAAATACAAGAATTAGAATAATTTTGATGAAACACGGTCACCTATAATAAATGTAACTGGATGAAATGATTAATACAGTGTTGAATTGTTCTGTGGCAAGTTGTCCCACAGCGAGTTGGCTGCGGCGAGTTGTCCTAGACCTACAACTAGGACATTTGGCTGAAAAATGTCAGCCAGTAGAAACCAGTAACTTTTACCATCTTGAATGAAATGATTGAGAATGGTGTATTTAATGTAATTGACCAACTCATGATTTTAATAACTAAAGAAATAAAATGGAACAAAAAGAGCAACAAATACTTGAACTTCAGATCTTGGCTATGTGGGGAAAAATCCACAACAGATATGGGAGGGAGGATAAGGGAAAGAGGAAGTGGAAGAAGCCAAGAAATGGTTGTATCATAGAAGGATCTGGTGGAACTTTCAAGGTACAGAAATATTTGACTTCTGGTCTATTATCTCACTAGCTTCTGGGCTTGGCTGGCCCACTTAGCAAAGAATAGATCTCCAGAAAAAATGGTTCCTTGCTACAGGTATTTGCTGCCAGCCAGTTTGTTGGCAATATGTTTAGAAAATGCATGTTTTAGCGTGTTAATTACACAGTAGCCCCAGAATTATCTGCATATTGCCAATAACTTCCTATGACTTTATAAAAGGGAAGCAAAAGAAAAGGCTTGTTGGCCATCTTGCTCAATCCCTTGCTTGATCCAGCCAAAATCAAGGATTTGAACTTCCTCAATAGTAAGAGACTCTGTAGTATTTACTTGCATAATGAAATCTCTCACTAACAGCTTCCCATCTCTTTCTTTACTCTGCTGAAAGTTCTAATTTTGATCTTTAAAATATTATAAGACCTGAGAATTCCTAAGATTGCTTTTCCTCAGGTATACTGGGTGCTGACATCACCTTTCCTATGTCAGATGCTGTTCAAAAGTCAATTTTGACAGACTGTTTCAAAGAGATTTATGGTACACTTACTTTGCTGCCAAAGATCTTAGGGAAAAAAATTCCCAAGACACTTACAGCTTTTTTATATTTTAAACATCTGTTTACACTTTTTGATGTCATTTCAGAAACAGTTTTAATAGATCTTGATTGCAAGAGCAGCTTACCTGTTGACTTATTTTAATATTTAGATATTGTAATGTTCTGAAAATGTAATACATGGCAGCTATTAATATTGGCATTAATATTGCATATTCCAAATGAAAAATGTTGTTGCTACTCCTTTTTTTTGAAAGTACAGATTATCTCTGATAAAGTATTCGATTCACCTGCAGATCAATTTTCCTGTAGCTTCACCATTGCATACAGTAACTTAGCCCACCTTATTAAGAAGATACTAATGCTTGCATATTTTTGAAACAAATCAAACTACATATTTTAATATTTCTGTATTGCTATCACTATTAAGATAGCATATTACTAGAATAGATACCACTGCCCATTAAGATTCTGTCAGCTGTGCATTAATATGACAATGGAAAAAAATACAGGAGAAGAGTTGCTTTTAGAATTACAACATGTCTTGTCTGTATATTTTAAACTCTTGATTTGATATGTCACGGATGTCTAACTGAGGCAAAGACTATTTAATTTTTTAAACAAAAAAAATGCACCACAGACGCTGTATCACTAAGAAAGCCAGTAATTTTACTGATTTGGCTGCAAAATACAAATTATACCTTATGTCCAGCAGGAAGAACTTCTGATTTTTTTGCCCATTAATTTATTTATTGTTCACTACAGACAGCTGATTAAATCTCTTGAGATACACAGGTGTGATTTTTAAATTTGTTATAGTATCTTGTCATCTAGTGGCGACAAAGTCCAGCTTATGCCGCTGTGAGCCTTTAAGCTTAATATTTCTTGCAAAACGCTTTTATGTGCCCATCAGCAGGAGAATATCACTGATTTAATTAAAGCAAATTCCCAGGATTAAAATAAAATAAAGCAAAAGCAAATCATCTGAAGCAATCCAAGTCAAATATTTTTAGGTTAAGTGAGTTTCTTTTACCACTGAGCTGACATCTTTGAATAAAATTGAAGTATGGGCCAGTTTGAGGTACAAGCAGAGACAGCAAAACTAAACAACATGATTATGCCCATCGTGATGCAGAGAATTTGATACAAAGGGTGCAATTCTACACTTGGATTGCTCCACATCTTTGGTTAGAATATGTTCACAAAATCCTGTTACTAGTTTGGGAATGAGGTCTTCTCAACTAACACCAATGTTCCACCAGCCATTTGAGGAACTCAGGGTGTCAAGAAATGGAGGCCACAGATGTTAACTGCAGATGGCATAAAATGGGAGCAGAGGAATATGCTGGGTTTAGGCAATAGCATTTATTGAGGTTTCAAGTGGCATTTTGGGACATAAAGGCAAAGTATTTGCCTTCTAGAGGCAGCAGGAAAGAAAGAAAACCAAATCAAACCAAACCACACTGTTGCATCTATGAGGAAGATGGGTAAAAGCTAAGACAAAGTCAAACAATACAAAAAGGGGTTCTTGACATTCTTGAAAACAGCATAGCAGTTGTTTTATTCTTGCATTTTAGCCTTGTTTGGGAAAAAACCCTCTGAGAAACAGCAGATATCACTGTATTATTAAAAATGTTAAATTCCACTCCTGGGAAAAATAGAAACCATTTGGTTACCAAAAAAAAGAAGAAGAAGGAGAAGGAGAAGGAGAAGGAGAAGGAGAAGGAGGAAGGAGGAGAAGGAGAAGAAGAAGAAGAAGAAGAAGAAGAAGAAAAGAAGAAGAAGAAGAAGAAGAAGAAGAAGAAGAAGAAGAAGAAGAAAAATAACACCCGTTGATAAAGCACTAAAATGATTTTTAAAATCTCCTTTTCTGAGAAAGGCATCAATGCATACAATATATAAAGGTGTGCTCTATTAGCTTTCCCCAACCTAGTGTTTTTCATATACTGTATGGATTAAAAATCTGATCTTGCCCACCTAAAATATGGCCAATGCCTAGTTCCTTTTTGGGTAGGAATTTTACTGTGACACTATATTAAAAAGGCACTAGATTTGGAAAGGGTGGTGTATATCATATACTGTAATCAGAAAACAGGCTTTTTTTCATAATTTTTCATAATTTTTGTTTCATAATAAGCTATTTCCAAAATAAATATCAGTTTAAGGGGAGAAGACATTCTTTTGGCTATTGCATGTTGCCTTTAATTTTGTTCTGTCCAGGGTGAAGAAAGTCTCAATCCTTTTATGAGGCACTGCCCCAAAACTGCTTAAATACAAAAGAATCATACCATAAGTCCCTCCATTGTAGTTTTACCAAAAATTGTTAAGGTATAGATAAAAAGAATAGTTAAGGATTGACTGCTAAAGCTTTTAGAAAGTAACATCACCATTAAACATTGTGCTTCTTTATTAATTAAATCCACTTACAATGTTCAGTTAACCCTAGGATTTGTGCCTCTATATTTTAGTTTAGCTCAATAGTGGAAAAAGGAAGAAATACTAATATCCATTCTTGCACAATTCAATTCAATTGCCTGGCTGAGTGGGAGGAGCTTATTTCCACTGGTTCACGTGCACAGAACCCCTCAATTCTATAGGCTCAAGAATAATTTTACGTGTATATGTGCATGGCTGTCACTCTCACCCACCCATATTGATAAATGACTTACAACCATACTGGTAAGCCAAATATTATTTCTTTCTTTTTCCTTTTTTTTTTTTATAAAATGGCCACATACATATTGCATATTTAATTCCTGTTGAAGATGAATGTTCTCAAGTGGTGGTAAATATTAAAGTGAAGAAAATCATTTGAAACCCTGATTGAAGTTAGGAAAATCAAACATTGGCCTCATTCTCACTTCCTTTAATGCACGTGTATCAATGGTGGAATTAATGCATTATCAAAGCAGTTTTTCTGTTATCTAGAACATACATGCAAATGATATGGCTTCAGCATACTCCCAAGACTTTCTGGGCTAGTCAAGAAATGCTTAGGATAAGAAAAAGCAACTGCTGAGCCAGCATGGAATCATAAGCTATGATACTACAGCTGTGATATAGATAATGTGGTATCATTATTACTGATGTTGTTAAAAGTGAACAAAGCCTTACATCTATATTTGGTTGGTATCCTTAATCAAACAGAGTTTTCGCAACTTGTATTCTTGTCTCCATTAACATTTGCCAAAGTCAGTTGGTTTGCTAATGCTTGTTCATGACTCTGGAAAGGTATCACAAATTAATCAGCAACTGGGATTAAGTGGTAAAGAGTGAACATCCCTCCAGTTTTTTCACTCTGCTTTATATTAATACTGTATCAAAATGAGCAGTTCAAAGAGCTGCATCATAAGCTGTGCTTTGACTCTAACATGCTAGAAATCACTCGTATTTCTTCCATCCTATATTTCTACCCTGCCTTCCTGTCCTAAGAAAGAAAATAAGCTACATCACTTGTAGCGTTTACTCAGTCGCTCGCTCAGCTCAGCAGGGTGGACCACCAAGACCTAATTTGCATGACAAATCTTAAAGCTCCAAGAAATATAAAACAATTATAAAGAATACAATAAACTTAGTCATATACAAAGGGATTCTCCTACAGCACTGGGAATCCAGATATACCTTTCACACATTATTTAGTATGGGGGAAAAAAATCCTTTCCTTTCAAGAATCAATCTCAGTATGTGTGAAGGAAGGAAGTATTTAAAGCAAATGACATAGCTTTCATGCATTTTTATGCCTGCTAAATTATAAATAATATGTGCTAATGTCAAAGATAAATTAGATACCCTGTTCAGGCATAATTTTATTCTGATATTATTCTTAATTAAAACTATGGGTAGGAATTACGGATAGTGTTCACTTTCTCCAATAAGAGAAAAGTAGAACAGAATGGATGTTGTTCTGCGGAGACCAAACCATTTAAGTTAGAAAATTATAATAGCCAATTTTTATAGCAGAGCTGATTGCTCAAATAAAATACAGCAGCCACCATATTTGAATGGAACTGTGGAATTCAGCTCTAGTTACTCAACATGATGCACATGCTTCACATTTTAACCATCACACAACTAAATACAGATGTCAAAATAAGCCCAACACTTTTCAGTGGTCCATACATTCAGCCACAAGTCATCCAGTGTTGCATAGCAAAATACTGAGTAAACCTATATTCAGTCATCTGGAAACAAATCCCTTTGACCTTATTGGATTTATTTTGCAGTATACCTGTACATGACGGTATTATAAGTAATGTAATGCATGTATAAATTCATTCTTGGACATAAACAACTCAACATTTATAGCCAGATTGAAGTTAGAACAGTGACCTTTTGCTGCTATTCCTGTCCTCAATTACTCTGTATGAAAGAGTACAAAAAGTAAAGAATTACAGAGTTGGAAGGGCTATTTAGGCCACTTTTCCTTGATCACATTTGAACCTGAATCTGCCTGTAGTTCTGAGATAACCTACTGAATTTTGGGCATAATATATGCAGCCAGGATACCAAATTTGGGGTAATTGTTATGGATTTTAAAATTATGTTCAATTTAGCGCTACCCCAGATTTCCATTTTGTTTGGGATTGTGAAAGCTTTCTCAGTTACTTCTTACAGCCAAACGATTGCTAGTTTTATCGAATGTTTAGAAACAAGACAAAGTTGAGCCACATTGTGATCTAAGGGGCAGAAAGCCTCAAGATACGCAAAACATAAATAAGGTAAGAAGAACATTTCAAATATATGATGAAACTACCGAAGATGCAAAATTGACTACAGATGTATTAGAATGATATGGGCTGCTTTAGGAAGGGAAAATCCTAATCGTTTGCAGATTAGCCTCCGACAGCTGACTGATTCTGTAAAATGTATTCTGATTAGAAGAAAAACTAAAAGGAAAAAATAGTTACTTAAATGTGCAACTGCACAAATATAATTCCCCCACTATTAAGATAACAAAAACTTCTGCTATTACCATAATTATTATATATATTAGAAAGCTATACACAAGCATGTTAATTTCACAGATTTTTAAAAGATTCTTAATATTTTATATAATTAGAAATACACATTTCAAAAACAAAATTTCTGCAAAGAGAAAACAATTACCTTGGTTAGCAAAGCATGGAGTTCTTCATGGCTTAGGGTAGTGCTTTCTATACAAAAAATCCCCCTTTGTTTCCTTCAGGGCTGTTTAAAATATTGGCAAAGCTATGAAGAGGGGAGAACACATTTTGGCTTATGTAAACTACAAAAAGCCACAATGCTTTGCAAACTCTGTCTTACTTTTTAATATGAAAATAAGGAAAATGTAATTTACATATTTTTTAATATTTTTATTTAATAAGTGATCCAGACCCAGAATTTTAAAAAAATTAAATAGGTTAGCCCTCACACTAAAAAAAAAAAAAAAAAAAAAACCCCAAAACATTTTTTTTCCCCACAAGTATGGTCCTCTTTTAAATGATTTTGATCCGTTTAACTGAGTGCCATACTCATACAATATGCCAACACATTTGTGAGCATTTTCAGATACACTAAATCAAGGGTCTCCAACCTTGACAACTTTAAGACTTGTGGACTTCAACTCCCAGAGTCCCTCAGCCAGTCTTAAAGTTGCCAAGGTTGGAGACCCTGTTGTTAAGTGAGCTAAAATTTTCCTTCTTTTCTTTTTTCCTTAATCACCCGATTTCTGGGTCTCCCAAAACATCTGTACAATTTCTATTTGTTGCATAACAGCCACTTTCTCTCTCAGTAAAGATTTGCCCAGGATTGGGCAAATGCCTCTTCTTTTTTTTCCTGTTTTTGGCTATTTACATGTAAATAACGTTGAACCTGCAACATGACACTATCTATTGTAACATACATTTTGCAAGGGAGCACAACAGTAAAAAGAAGTTAACCTTAAAACCTATTTTGTACACGTGATCTGTTGTACAACTCAAGTGCGAAGCATCTCTTCAGCATTGCTGTTTATCTTTTAATATGGTATCACTGAGGCAATTTAAAAGTACTTTTACAAAACAGAGTACCTGACTTTCCCCCCCTCCCCACACACAGCACATATAATGCATATTGACCCCCCCTCCCTCTTTCCCCTTAAGGTATAGCACACACACGCACTGCAAGGAAAAAAAAAAAACCTCTAATAGCTAGTAAAGTTATCATGTTGCCCATCCTTCAGAGAGCCGCATGCGCTTCACGGAGGGACTTTCCCTTTCGTCCGGCGAAGGTCTGGTGAGTCCAATGGGAGAGTGGAATTCATTTCGGTGATCTTCCCTGTCGCTTCCATCGTAGGAACTACTACAGCTGCTCAAGCTGTCAACAGGAGATCTTCCTGCCTCGTGGCGCGTATGCTGTGGATATCTCGATGGCGTGGTGGTACGGTCTCTAGGAGGAGAAACAGGTTCGGACTTGATGTTGAGGCTTTGAGTAGAAGGCAGGGAGAGATTTGTATTCTGAGATAAATGAGTGCTAGTGCAAGCTCTGTAGGAGGAAAGGAAACCCAGTTACAGACGGAGGAGGCAGAGCCCCCTGAAATGCACACTTATACAAAATATCAGCTAAGAGATGGAAAAACTCATCCCTGCACAAAGCCAAGGACTGTGTGTGTGAAGGATTGTCTCTGCAGATGTGGGACACGCCTGAAAGGATGACTCCCCTAAGATGGTCCTTGCAATTTTTTCTATGGATTGCCCAGAACTGCAGCCAGGATGATTTTATCTCAAATGGAAATAGTGTCAGCCACACCCTGCTGTTTTTTTGAAACCATGACTGATTTCTTAAGGTATGACTATATGTGTGCATATACAGAAAAGTCATTTAAAAAGATGGTAGGCTGTATGGCAGACTAGTGTAGATTGCTTACAACGCAACTACAAGAGCAATTGGGGTTGTTCTATTCAGCATCTTTTGGTTTTTCACATGGCTTCCAAGACAACATGGGTTCATTCTTCTGGACTCTGGTGAGTGTCCTGAGGTATATGGCAACTCACATTGGAAAGGGGTTTGAGCAAAGGTTCGGGAAATTCCCTATCGAAGTCTTTATCACCCTAAAGGTACATAGAAACTAAATATTCATTTTTATTATAAGCAAAAAGTTGATGCAAGATTGGATGCAGGAAGTTCTAATTTATTCTAAAGCCCTGTTACATTAGAAAACGTCACCAAACGAAACCATGATTTTCTGGACCCAGAAGAATGGTGATGGGAAAGGAAAATGTTATGTACATAATTTCCCAACTTTGTGAATACTTGTCGATTGTGCATGGAAGTTGTATATCACTCAGAGCTGACAGGGCAGATTGAATGTTCCGCCGAGGGACGAAAGGCAATGGCATAAAGGAGATATGTCACTTGAGCACTGGAGCTGCACATTTTGAAAGACTGGAAAGCCCACATGCTCAGTCCTAACCCTCTAAAATCTTTGTGGCTGAACACAAAGTGAAGGACTGTAGCCAACTGTTCTCTAAACTCTGCAGAAAAGCAAAACAATGCTAGATATCTATCCTTGGAATGATGTGGCAATGCTTTTATCATTAATTGTCACAATGTTTAATAATGAATGGCTATTGTTAGTCAACAAAGAGGAAGAGAAATGCTGCAATCCGTAATTGCTTTCATCTGCCCTGCATTCATCTGATTTTGTCAAAATTGGTGCAGTTATTTAATGGGCAAGCATGTTGGCCCTACAGTTGCAGTTGTGTGAAAAGCGAGCCAAAGGGTAGAATTGTCTTGATTTTACATTCTTGGCAATACCTGAAGTTAACAAGCTGTCTATTGTTGGGATATGTTAACTATTGGAAATTAGTTCAACTTGCTGTGTAATGAATATCTTTATTCACTGTGGAAACTAGAGGCACTAACTATAAATAAGTTAAGGTCTCATACACAGTTTTCTTGATTTCTAAAAAAGTAAAAATTTACACTCTTAAGATCCAGCTTACATACTAAATTGAATAGAGCAGAATTAAAAGAAGTATTCTCTTTTCTTGTGGTCTAACAAACTGCTATTTAATTTCAGATTAAATTTGATTTACAAGATTTACAGAAGGAATTGCCAAGTGAAATTTTCTTATTTTTTTCAGTTAGAATTCCAATTTTTGACCAATGTAAAATAAATATTCATAGAATAACGTATAGGTAAAATTAGGGCAGATATTTTATGGCTGCACTAGAAATAGATGATAGTGTGTGTTAAATCTGTGAAGGTTTGCTATTGGTTTAGCATTTAATTATGAACCATGCTTTCTTTGTGAAACAGTCTGTTTATGTTATGGTGTTCAACTGAAAATAATTTGTTCACTTTAAATGCTTAGGTGGAGCATTTTCTATTTTATAATGTATTTTTTAAAAACACTAAGATTAATGCACAAATAATATTATTATCAAGATTATAGGAAATATTTAATAGACCTTTCATGATAATACAATTTTCACTTCTTACATACAAAATAATTGACATAATCCACTTCTCACTGAAGTGAATGGCAGCATGTTTAATTTTAATAGAGCTGAGCTACTGCTTTCAATGCATCTTGAAAGAAGGGCATCTCACTAAATAGCCAATGGACTTTTATTACAAATAGTCCTTGACTTATATTGTTCATTTAACAATATATTCAAAGTTATGATGGCCTTGGAAAAAAGTGAGTTATGATCTCTATGTATACTTATGACTGTCACACAACTCCTTGGTCATGTGATCACAAATGGGGTGCTTGGCAACCTACCCACAATTATTACTAACTGAAATGTCCTGTAGTCATGTGATCAAAATTTGTAACTTTTTTTGCCTTTTCTTCTGGCAGAAAATGCCTTTTGGAGAAGTTGGATTTGCTTAACAACCATGGTCATTCACTTAATGACTGATGTAAAAACTATTCTAAAATCAGATTCAATTCTACTTGCAATTGCACTAATATATGTTGGAAATTCCAATTGTGGATATAAATTGCGGAATATCTGTAATGCACTCATGTCTCCAATCACTGAAAAGATATTCAGCCTTGACTGTGTGCAATTCAGATCATAGGGAAAGTGAACATTATGGTTTGCTAGTTTCCTTGTTGCACTGGATTTGTTTATATTTCATCTTTTATAAAGAGTTTCTGGCTTTTACACTAGCATAGTATACATTAGCATAGGCTTTTCCCTCCTGAATTTGCCACTAGAGGGCAGGAGTGCATGCCCTTTCACTGGGAAAAGGAACACTAGCTTTGCTTGCTGGCAACCTTTTGGACATGTAATTTATCATAGTATAAGGGAAATAAGTGAAATATCTGTGCCTCTTCTAAAATGCATGATGCTCAAGCAAATGTGGATTATGTGTGGGTCAAGCTGGTAGGTCACTTGGTAATACTAAGCAGACAGGTATTGTGAAGGGCAGTAAAGTCTTAAAGTCTGAATGGTTTAAGGCTCTGGTTAAAAGCAGAGAAGAAAAAACAAGAATTCTAATATTACTGTCCCTACAAGGTTATGATACAATCAGGGAAGAGATTGGAGAAAAATTATGTTAATAGATTGTAGAAAAGAGATTAATTCTAAATGAATTGCTTATCTGCTTTCAAGGTCTGAATTTTTGGCGTGTAATTTCTAGACTCAGCTCAGCTCAAGTAAGTGGTAGGTTAGCATTTACCTCAGAAATGATGGAAGAATGCCTTCTGTCAAATAATCTACAGGATTTTAGATATTCCAGTCATCTGCTATCACCTGGGATGCTAGCTATTAAAACCTCCGCACGCAAAGTACAGGTAGTCCTCAACTAATGACTACAAGAGGGCCCTAAAATTTGTTGTTAAGCAGTGCAGTCACGTGACTGCATCCAATTTCATGACATTTTTTTCTGCTGCCATTTGAGAGAATCACCGTGGTCATTAAGTGCAATATCACATGACCACAGCTTTTCCGTTGACTTTGCTCGTTGGAAGCTGGCTGGGAAGGTTGCAAATGGCAACCATGTGACCACAGGATGATACAACGGTCCTAAACACACAACAGTTGCCAAACACTCGAATCGTGATCATGTGACCATGAGGATGCTGCTAAGATTGTAAGAGAAAGGACGGGTCATAAGTCACCTTTTTTCAATAGCGTTGTAACCTCAGTTGCTAAATGAATGGTGGTTATGTGAGGATTCCTTGTAGGGGATTTACTATAGTCCCTTTTTTTACCATTTACAACTATCCATGACAGGATGATATCATACTTAATCGGCTTGTTTTATCTTTTTATTCTTGATGAATGTATTTTATTCACCTTATATACACTGAGAGCATATACACCAAAGACAAATTCCTTGTGTGTCCAATCACACTTGGCCAATAAAGAATTCTATTCTATTCTATTCTATTCTATTCTATTCTATTCTATTCTATTCTATTCTATTCTATTCTATTCTACTCTACTCTACTCTACTCTACCCTACCCTACCCTACCCTACCCTACCCTACCCTACCCTACCCTACCCTACTCTACTCTACTCTATTGGGACACACCTCCAGATTGAGAGAGTGGGACTATATGGGAGGAATACTGATTTCCCCTCCCTACCTCTTGCTGTTTTGAGGGCAGGTCAAAAAACAAAGAAGAAGAAGGAAGCCACTTTCAAGGGAGCAAATGGGTTCTGACCACTGTGCCTTTGGGGCAGCTGAATTTGGGCTGGAAGGTTATTTCCTGGCCAGCCTAGGTGAGGCCAACTACTTCTAGCCTAATGTAACATAGCTGAATACATAACAGCCAAACTCAGAGAGCACCAAGGACTTCACAGTTCCACCCTGAGCTTCATACGTTCTCTTCTATTGGTAACATGAAAGCTAGCTGGGTGACACTGGACCAGTCATTTTCTTTCAGCCCAACTCACCCCACAGGATTGTGGTTGTGGAAAAAATAGAAGGAGGGAGGTGGATCTGTTCGCCACCTTATTTGTAAAAACAATAAAGGTGGGATACAAATAAATAAAATAAACATGGCCAAGTACAGCTAATGTTGAAACTCTACTACTAAAACAATTTAATCCCATAGATTAAATCCCACCTGTTGCCTGATTTCACTAAACTGCTCTCCTCCCGCTTGTTAGCTAATGACAAAAAATGCTGCACTGCAATCTATCCATATGCATGATGCATCTATCACTGACATACCGCAGGCCTGCCATTTATTATGTGTTACACCTGCCTCTCATATCACTTTTTACTGATAATCAGCAGAATGTTATCTACAGAGGAAGGGACAGAACTAAGTGGAGGCCACTCTCTTGGGTTTCTTGTAAAACAAAAAGAATTCAGTCAATGCCAAGACTATAGCTTTGGTTCCTTTCAAGGTGCCTCATCTCCAGGCAGGGGTGAAATTCAGCCGGTTCTATCTGGCTTAGGTGAACCAGTAGCGGTGGCTGCAAGAGGTTCTGCCCACCCACGCGGACGTCATGATGTCACTTTTTTGCAACAATTTTAAGCCTCTGCGCCAGTGGTGGGTTGCTCCCAGTTCGGTCCGGTTCTATAGAACCGGTAGTAAAACACGCAGGAGGCTCCGCCCACCTACCACAACATCATCATGGGTGATCTGCGCATGCGCAGAAGCTTCTGCGCATGCACAGAAGTGTGCGCACGCTCTCTCATTGCGAACTGGTAGTAAAGGTAAGTGGAACTCACTGCTCTGTGCATGTGCAGAAGGCTTTGTGCAGAAGGCTTTGCACACGCGTGGACGATGGTGTGTTTGAGCGGACTGAGTGTGCGTGTAATGTGTGCACATTTGCGAACTGGTAAGGAAGGTAAGTGAATTTCACCCCTATCTCCGGGGTACTAGAAACTTTGAGCTCTCTTCTCCAAACACTTATATAACCAAAAACAGGGTTATTTGGGGAGATGGGGGGAAAAGGAAAGAGGTATCATAGGTCTTTTAAAAATAACATGATGCTTTGCATTCTGACTTACCCCAATTGACTGAGGGCAGATGGTGGCATGTTGTGTAGATGTTGCTGCTGCCAGCCAGTTACTGAACCCAAGTGGAGAGCACTGGCTGTGTTAAAGCCAGACAATGATGACAAATCTGCACTACTTAGCGAATACTCTGAATGCAAGAATATATAAAAAAAACAATTTCAAAATTAAGAAGAGTTCAATAACTATGAACAAATTCTCTCATATTCGGTTAATAAGGCATTGTAACATCTATTGCAGTTGTGGTATTAAAGGCATTCTCTTCTCTTCCCCACTCAATGTGAGCACAATAGGCTGATACATGCAAGTGCATAAACTCGGCTTACTATCAGGATATAAATGCTAAATATATGATTTTCTGGTTCCTGGTGAACTTTCAGTTTGTGAAGTTTTATAATACTTTTAGCACACATTTAACAACACCAAACAATGCAGCCTACAAAGTCAGCTTACTTGCAAGGAATGGGAAACTTATGACTCTTCGGATATTTCTGGGCAACAACTCCCAATTATGTGGCCCTGCATAGCAATGGATGCTGGGCACTCTAGATTAGTATTTACTGGAGGACCACGGTTCCTCACCTTGATACTGAGTATGGGCCAAATATGTGAGCTTTAAGGGAGATTATTGTAAAGTGCAATCAACATTAGATTAGCCTTGGATTCTTGGAAATAGCAACCTTAGGTTCTGGGGTGAATTAGTTACTATGTTCTCATGGAAATAGTAACCTTGAATACACATTTAAGCCTGTAAGTGAAAAAATGGTATACAACTCAGTTTTTGCACTGTGTACCCTCCAGACTAGCCAGACTCACATTGGGTTTTAGAGCCCTAGTCAACGGAGGATGGGGATACTTGGGCTTCAATTTTTGGGAGGACCCTGAACTGGAAAATGCCTTCCCCTTCCAGATAAGGATTAGGTGCAACCATTCTTGGCTCTGCCAGTCCCTGCCTATTATAGAATAGATAGTTCTGGAGTGGTATGCCCTCTTGTCACCATCATTGTTTCCTATCATGTCTTTTTGATGTACAAATGGATTGCCACATGGATGTACAAATAAGACACTGTGGAGTCTGCAGTTCGGGTAGGCATGGAAGCATTTCTGCTCTTTCAAAAGTGTATGATGCAGGTAAGTTATACCTACATCATGCCAGCAGGCATCAATTAATTATGAGAGTGGGAATGTCAAAGCACTTTCTGGTAAGGGAAATTTAAGTGGCTCTTCAACTGTCAAGTGTAAATGAGTGATTCTTAAGCCACTTAAAAGCAATTCTTGTTATGATGCACAACAAAAATGAGACAGGATTCTACATATTGTTTCATTTCATATTACCACAAGCATCACATTCATAACTATTTGGGCTATCTTGTATGTGAATATTTGGCTTTTTTCTTATTTAATGTATAAAGCTCAGAATTATGTGGAAACTTACCGGTACCATATGTTGTTGAAATGGCTGATGGGTATCCTCCCATCCCTTGCCCTGGTAAAGTAGGAGTTGCCACGGAAACCACCGGAGTAGCCAATGACTGAGCAGACTGAGAGTTATTTATCCTTTGATTCTTTTAAATGAGTAAAATAAACATATTAATGGAAGGATGGAAAACATTTGAAACAAATTATATTTAGAGATTGGATTTGTTCCTATGGTACAAAATTGCATACAGATTTCACTACATTAATCATTTATCATGTCGCTTTTATGAACTCTGCCAATCCCATGATTTATCATTTTTTCAAGAGACCAGTTGTCACCATAGTAACTCATTAAATCAGAATCTCCTAGGTTACCAAACATATAAGATTTTTCTCCTCCCCCCCATATACATTAGGAGCAGTCAGACTAGGAGGATAAGAATATTTAATGTGTAATCATTTAGGTTTGAAAAAAATTGCCTGAAAATATTACTAAAAATATGATGCTACCCCTTCATCCCAGTTCAGTTCCATGGACGCTTTAAAAAAGTGTCCAAGTAGGATGAGTTATGCCAGATGTTAGTAGAGGATTAACTGTTGAAAGCAACCAAATTATGCTCATGATACATGACTTTTCTGTGGTTTCTATTACAATTTGGGATAAGTGCAGAAGCCTGCTTATGTACACAGACCTCCTTAGGTGAACTGGCTGCCTATGCTTAAAATAGGCAAGTTAGATGATGAATATGCAATACTGCATGTTCTATTTTCTCCAGCAGATGGTGCTATGGTCACTTCATTCTTAAAAATGCTGAAATTTATATGAAAGATACTATTAAATATACCTTTACCCTGTATTTTCTTACTGTGGGACTCTTAACATGTACAAATCAAGATTGGAAATTTAAAGGCACAGACCATTTAATAGAAACATTAAAATGTTTGGGCATTCAAAGGTGACATTACTGAAAGAACACTAAATCCAACCTTTTTAAAATTGTTGCTTTACAGCAATTAAATACTTTCAAACAACTTTCAAGCCTTAGAAAATAGTTGGGATAGACTTCTATTTGTTTTTGAAGAAAAGTTCCATTATATTTCAGCTGCCAAGTCAGTAGGGAAAGGCAAATGAATTGTCTTCAATAAACATTATCCCCACTTACCAAAAGCAGATCAACATCCTCAGACTGATAGCATGAGAGAGGAGGATGAATAATTAGCAAAAGCAAATATTCGAAAGCCTCCTGCTTCCAATGCAAGAAGGCCTAGTTTCACAACACTGTACAGTAGAATGGGCTATCAAGCAAGTTACGTACTCTAATATAATCTCATTAAACATTATTTAAATTCCTATGTTTAGGAGGTAAAGTCCTGGTTAGCTTCTTCCTTTTTCTTTTAGAGATGAAGATTAATCTAAGGGTATCACACCCATGTTTTTGCTTTCCTAATCATGACTCCATCTGCAACTCATACTCAATGACATCATTGTTGCAAAATATCTTGCCAATCAGATGACCACTTGGAAAGTATTACTAGTTTAGATGTTCCTAGAAATAAAACATTTGATGGAGATGTTTTCCTATTCCTTCAAGAAGAGATAGTTGTATTGATGGGTTTTAGCCAAATGGAAAACACAAAATGGATGCATAAATGCATCAGGCTGGTAGTTTTATCACAGAACTGTTTAAAATAGTTGTCAATTTGATTTAGATAGAGCAGTATCCTTGGCATTACCTAGTATTTCTTATCAGAGTTGTTTTTCAAATAGCCCCATTTTTAAGGATTATATGGAAAAGTAACCTTCTATATGCTTTCATAGTGAAAGATACGGGTTTAATGCACAAGGACAATGTAGCTGTTTAATGTGTGTGGACAGGGCATGATAACGTTACTAACGAAGAAATGTTTTAATTAAAATGCTGTTTATAATTGTTGTAAGATGTAACTTTTGGGCTTCAGAGTTGCAGAAGTAAAGATACACTTCTTCAGGTTGTTACTTTGTGTTTCAATTAAAATGTAAAGTACTGTTTTCGTATGATGTCAAAGCATAGCTTCAAAACACTATATATGGTGATAAAAGAAACTATGAAACCACAGAGAACAGCAACCTTTTAAAAATACAATTGGGAAAAAACTGGCTATAGTAGTGGCAGTCGGAAATCAAAATGGCATAAAAGTCTCATCATTTGAACATAAATTCCAGATTCAGATTAGTGCATTATTTTGATTTTTGTCAAAATACAATTCTTGTAAAATTCATTTCTATCTTATCTGCACCAAGCCTTATTGAATTAAAGGAGACAAATCCTAATTAAGTTTACAAGGAATTGAAGCTTTGGTTTGTTCCCTGATTCGGAGTATTATAAATGGTTGCCTTTCCCCTAGGAACAAGCTGAAATTTTATATAAAATGGGCAGCTCTTGAGAATAGGAAAAGCAATCAGCAAAGTAACAGCATTACAAAATATTAAATATGGGATGTTTGAAAACACTTAACAATATTTTTATGAATTTAATTCACTTATTGCATATGATTTTAAGCTGCTTCTAAGTGGCAGGTATCACTTATATCAAATCCTCTCTCCCACACACTTCTAATAAAAATACGTAAAAACATCTGGTCAAAATGTCCATGCCTCCAAACCCTAATAGCTAAGGATGTGTGCCTAGTTCAGTCACAGCACAGAAACAGTGAAATACTGTGAAAGCACATGCAGACGTATAGATTTCCCTAGCAAGGGGCCAGACTGCACAGAGAAGCTAAGCACTTCCTGTTCTGAAGAGCTCTAGAAATAGAAGGAAGTGTGAATCCTCTCTTGCGACTTATATGGAAGCTACAGTGAGACATCGGGGTTTGCTGCAATCATTCTGAGCATAGTGCACTTTGCCTCTGTTCTTCTTCTGAACTTTGTCTGAACCAACTACAAAGTCCATTAAGTGCATTGAGGGCAACTCTTTCTCATTTTTTGCATAAACGTTGATGATGTGAATCTCATATCCTTGAACTGTCACTATGGAAAAAAGTACACCCACATAATTTTGAGGTTGATTAAAAGGGTAATAAAGACAAATAACTGAATAATGTATATATAATCAGTTATTGTGTGGAAGCCATTCCTAACTGACAAATAGGTTAAAATAAATCAGCTCTATTAAAAGCTTTTTCTTTTAAAATCATGGCTTGTTGTTTTCAAGTAACCTCCTTAACTTTTTAAAGAAATAAGTATAATATTAGACCTTTGTAGCAATTTTTGGTTGAAGGAAGGTTGAATCTGGGTAGGACACTGATTGTTGCTAGTATTTATTCTGCCATGAATTTATCTGGAGCAACACCTCCAAATCTCATCCCAGTGAAACTACTGGAAAATTGCTTTCCATTCCTATAGTGCATTATTAAGAATATTGCCAAACCATCGTGCAAACTATCTGAAAATAATTTTAATTTAATAATCCCCAGTCACACCTAACAAGTGCTGTCAAACTATATTTGGATTGCAAATCCCAGAATCCTCAGCCTTTGGCATGTTGGCTGGAGATAGGGGGAAGGGCAATGTCAATTTATGTCTGGAGAGTGACAATTGGCAAAAGCTGCTTGGTAAATTTTTAGAGAGCTCATTAAATTGATTAACAAACCAATTTGTTTTTTTCATCAGTGCAGACTTAATGCATCAATCTATTCATTTTTGAACTAAATCTGGCTGGAAACTCTTTCAGTTTAAGAACGAGAGCCTTGAATAATATTCTTGAGCAAGTAATTTCCTGCCATTCGGTTAATCTAAAGCCTACTGGAACCTTTGTTAACCTTTGAAGGAAAAGGAAGAAAATAATGCATTACCACAGATGGCATTGTATTCTTGCTTCCCGGAGGGATCAGCACTCGGAGGTCTGGTTTACGATTATTCAATCCCAAATTCATGGGTGGAGGAGACTTTGCTTGCATATTCTTGTTCAAGTTGCCAGGTGAGACCAGCAGACCTGGGGAGTTGCGTGGGTTGCCATACCCATTCCCTGTTCATTTTGCAAAGAAAGGCAAACAAATGCAGGTTTAACAATGGATTCCTAAGTATGTAGATTAACCCTGAAATATCCTCAGGGAATATTGTTCTTCTTTTCAATAAGGTCAATATGTGTGTGCCAATTGTTCTAAAAACCCATACTAGCATTCCCCAAGTTGGCTAAGATTTTTTGGGGAGTTACATACTCAAGGTGCTTAGAAAAGGAAGGTGGTGTCTGATGAACCAGTGGGATGGAAACTTTTTAAAAAAACAATAAAAGTAGCAAAATAGAAGTTAATTGGTTGTGATAGTTGCTTCAATAACCTCTCATCATCCTAAGTGACAAGTATTGCATGAATTGCAATATTTTAAAATAAACTCGCAAAGGTAATTAACCTACATCTACATGTAATTAAATTATATCTGGACAATCAGATAATGGTGATCATGCTATTGCTCTGTGAAACTTTAGATTAAGTAACATGCAGAACAACAGGTCTGCATGATTATTAATTTTCAAATTTGTATTTTGATAATCCTCTGATTAAGCCGTACAAGAGGAGTGGGCTACCTTTTGATGGCTTGGAGCCACATACACACTTTACTATATTTTGCATGGCGATCTCTGAAATGGGTGGTATGATATGTAAATTGAGTGCAACTGTACCATGCACATGGGCAGATTAAAACACATTCTGGTTTTGCTGAGTTGTGAGGACTATTGTGAGAGTTTCAGGACTAGATTACAGGTAGTCCTTGACTTACAAACATTTGTTTAGTGACCGTTTGAAATTACAATGCACTGACAGAAGTGACTTATAATCATTTTCAAACTTACAACTGTTGCAGCATTCCCATGGTGGTGACGTGATCAAAATTTGGACGCTTGGCAACTGCCATGTATCTATGATAGTCATAGTGTCCTGGGATCATGGGATCACCTTTTGTGACCTTCTGACAAGCAAAGTCAAAGGGGAAGTCAGATTCTCTTAACAACTGTGTTCCTAACTTAACAACTGCAGTGATTCACTTAACTGTGGCAAGAAAAGTCATAAAATGGGATAAACTCACTTAACTGTCTTGCTTAGCAACAGAAATTTTGGGTTCAATTGTGATCATAAGTTGAGGACTACCTGTATGCCTATTTGACATTAAAGTATTCATTCCTCCAATTTTCAGTCATTATGGTGAGAGGGAAACAAAAGAGAAAGTCTAAAGGTTGCACACCTTTCTAGAGTCTCTTGTTGCCTATCCATGCTTCATGTGAAGCATCCAAATAAGAACAAAAGCAACTGAAATTAAAATACAAAACTTTTTATAAGTTGCACACTACATTATATAACAATAAAAACAACATAATGTTCTAACCAAATCAACTTTCAAATAGATTCCAATCCATTTCCCCTGCCTCCAGTTTACTCTTCTCCCTCCAGCCACTGGTCCATTTTCAGTATTCAACTTAATGGGGTTGTCTTGGTTTCTACACACCCATGAACTTTTTTATACTTCCAAAACTTGGATTTTCTTTACCTGTTACCGTCTACCCCTAACTCTTAGATGGTGCAACTCTGGCTACATACCCTGTTTCCCTGAAAATAAGACATCTCCTGATAATAAGCCCAATCGGGCTTTTGAGTGCATGCGCTAAAATAAGCCTCCCCCTGAAAATAAGCCCTCCCCAAAAATATTTAAACACAGAGCTGGAAATCAGGTAAAATGGAAAGAGGAGACCCACTTTGCTCCACGTGCCCCAAAATAATAAGACCTCCCTGAAAATAAGGCCAAGCGCTTATTTCGCGGTTCAAAAAAAAAATATAAAACAGGCTCTTCTTTTTGGGGAAACACGGTAGATTGTCTAAAAAAAGATCTATTGTTCTTGTATCTCTCTATACTTAATAGACAAATTGGATTGTTTCTCTATGTGTGAATGAAGGATGTGCGTGAAAACCAAGGCATCTCAGTCCAAATCACCACTCAGCTATGAAGTTCACTGTCGCCATCCAACCTGCACCACAAGTCTGCTGTGCAGATAAATAAGAAACAGCACACTTAAAAAAGAATGGGATGATAATATAAACAATAAGACTCCTCGACATTGCTCTTTTAATATTTTAGGCTCCTAACAGAAAGTCTGGTGACCTTGAGAAAAATCTGAGCTACCTGAGGCGAGAGGTTGATTGGATTCTGTATGCTGGTTGTACAGTATTGAATATTTAACTGGATATTACCAAATGCTTGTTACACAGAAGAAAGAAACCAACGTCAGATGATATTGCTGGGGAGGTGGTGGTGGGGAGGGAAATAGAACAAGAAAGAACAAAGCAAACCATGATAAAAGGGGCTGCTTTATGGACAAATGCAATAGAATTCTGCTTAGCTTGACTCACTTTATTCCCCCACTTTAGGCTTTTTTGTTTTGAAACAAAAGAAAGTGCAGCAAGGCTATAATTTCCAGAAAAGAAAGAAGAAGGAGAAAACAAACCGGAGGAGGACTCAGAAGCCTCTGAAATGCTTCATCCTCAATCCCTTCCTCCCCTTTCGGAGCCTAATCCTGAATGCTGAGTTCAGCAGGAGTTGGTTCTGATTTTGAACACACCCCTTCATGTCATCTCTGCACTTGTAGCTTTACATCCTGACATACAGGCATCTTCACATTGTGCTAATTTGGTGCTTTCAGAAGCAGTGCTGCTTCCCATTTGAAACTGCAATAATCACAATGATAATGCTGGCACAGCACTGCAATTAAGCAGACTTTCTCAGCACCAGGAGGAGGAGGAGGAGGAGGAGGAGGAGGAGGAGGAGGAGGAGGAGGAGAGGAAGAGGAAGAGGAAACAAGGGAGCAACTGAACTTATTCATCAGGGCAATGGCTTTTCAATTCTCTTCTTTGAGAGCGTTTCATTTTCTTGCAGTGTCAGTAACCAAAAAGGGTACCTGCTATACTAACATCACAATAACTCCCTGGAACGCTTTAAGATCCCATTTTGAAGGCCACTGAAATAATGGCCTTTAGAGGCATGGTTTAAACATGCTATACCGATAGTATTACTGAAAACAAAATGTATATAAAAAGTGGCACCATAGCATGAAATCACCAACTTATATACTTCACTTGCTTACAGACTCAGTGGTATACACAAAACGTGTAAATAAATATAATGCAAAACACAATAGCATAGATTTGTTTTAAATTTTCTTACGCTACAGTAGGAAGCAACTCAATTCATTAGAATAGGACTTATTTCTGAACACTGTAAAACTAATCAAGATTACACTACAGTTAATACTTTGGACTTGCACAGAATATAATCCCTGTGTCCGGTGACAGTAAACTGTAACAAGAATAGTTAGGATTTTTTTTAAAGATAAAGGAGGCCCAGGGCTCCCAGATATTCTACCCTTATATAACATATATTGTACATAATACATAAAGTAATATGTCCATTAACATTTGCAATGGATTGCTTGTTTTGCTATAAGAAATTAAAAACTGTTTTATTATATCATACAATATGCTTGTGATGAAAGTAGGATATAAATCTAATCAATAAGTAAAACAACAACAACGATCAATTGTTCAGTATGTTGTTCAGTACAGGATTCTTTTTTATATGCATAAAATATGCCTGCAAATATACAATTTATCTTGTATAATCTAACTTCTGTATCAGTCTCACTTCTATGTTTCTTTTTAAGAAAAGGAATAAAGGGTATGATGGGAAGATACTTGTTTTCCCTTAAAACCCACCAATATATTAAATTAAAGCAGTTCGTATAATACAGCTTAACACTGGTAATGTCTTCCCATCGTTTTTAGACTGTGCCACTTACAGATACCAGTCATGTAATTCTTTATGTATTTATCCATGATCGTAAAATATTTTGAAACGTGATGACATTTCCTGCATTTATATTTTTAGAGCATCAAATTATTTTAAAGAGCGATTGCAATCTTCTCTTTACCAGTGGATTTCTGCTGTTCTTGGCACATTATGCCAGCTGGCAATTTGGAGCCATATAATGACTGTTTCTCCTTCCAGCCACCAAATCGTTACGCTTTTGGCAGAGGATGGATCCTGGAATGTAAGACTGTAGACTCAAAACCAATGATATATAAACCCATCATTTGAAAATCCATGATGAATACATGCATGTGGCCTGTAGCAGAGGGGAGTCTGCATTTAATCTGGATGCTTAAACCGCATCCTCTGTTAAAGGCTCTGGCCTCAACTGAGGCACCTTAAAAGTTAAATGCCCTGAAAGTCTCTGTTAAATTCAGAGGCAAAGGAAAAACGCAGCAGCAACAAGACTCAGCCCTTCTAATATAGAGATTAAACCTTTCTTTAGCCTGTCCTTTAAAATTACACTTTGCCTGGACGGTTATCAATTTAAATGCAACTGTGTGCACAATGCTATGTCCCACAAGCCACTAGAAAGAGGGAAAATTATATGCCATGTACAGATGGATTTCCTGATTATAAATTAGGAGAAAATAAGGACCAGATGAAATGGAGAACTAGTTTGCTTTATATTTTATTTGATTAAAAGCCATGTATTTGTTGAAATGGAATACATTCAATGTTATGGATATAACTTGCAGTGCATAATAACAATGCTGCTGCTAATGGAGAAGTAAAAGTTTGAGAGGGACATACACTTCTCAGCCAAGAGGCTCTAAAAACACCAGCGATCACTGGGGATTTCTTTTCCCAGACCATTACAAGAACTTACTTTTTGTTTTATTGATTTTATTGAGTAAATGATGTTTAAAAACAAGAAGCAAGTCTATTTCTTGCTAAGTGTTGTATTCGAGCAAGTAGCCACTTTTTCATCCAATGTCCTAGGAGTCCTTTGTAGAAACCAATAACACTGATAAGGAGAAATGAAATGGAATGTAGTCTAACACCCCCCCCCGCCCCCCAAATGAATGCTCATGCCTATCTTATTTGGAGAATAGATGAGAGGTTTTAAAATGAGTTTTTGCTAAGTAAGGGAACAATACATAGTCCTCCAGA